ATTTGACGGTTGGAGTTTGGATTTATAAAAAATAATTTATTTTCGTGGTTATTAACCGAACCGATATATTAATCGAGCCGAACCAAATCGACTTTCGTGGTTATGGTGTGGTTACGGTATGACCAAAAATTTGGTAGTGCGGTTATGGTTTTGACCGAACCGATCCCAAATCGAACCGTTGTCATCCCTAGTATTTCCATAACTCACACTAACTTTGGCGGCTCATAAAAATCCTTTTGTTCTTTTCTTTGTGTTTGATTTATTGTATGAGCATCATGATTTCATATTGATTTATATTATTATCAAATACAATCCACGTCATCATTATATACATCCATGATTCACAAACCCTTCTGTAACTTTTAGGAACATATAAGTCCATTTTTTATATTAAAAAAAAAAAATCGGTCATGAATTTTGGCCATTTTCCAAAATGGGACATGAAAAAGGGGAGACGTTGTCCGATTACGACAAGAGAAAGACTTTTATACATGAATTACTTGCATCACTGGATTGATATGACAGTATAAAAGTCGAGAAGAAGATGTTGAAAATTGAAGTATTAAGTATCGCTAGATCCTTTGGGGCATTTTACAGAAAGCGGCTCACAATGTTAGTCAATTTTAGCTAAGCACGTTTGAGCCACATATTCTCCCAAGAATACATTTTAAATAGTTTTTTGATGAAAAATATATAGTTAAAAAATAAAAATAAAAATCGATTTATTTGTAATATTATTTTATTGAAGAATATGTGGTTGAAAATAAGATAGAAAAATATATTTTAGAAGAATGAATATCAAACTTGGTGTAAATGTTCAGAACATCTTACGCATGTTTGATTGAATATATGTCATGTCAACATGATGAAGTTTTTGGAAAGGTTCAATGAATTTACTTCAAGATTTGAACATCATTTTGTTGAAAGTAAAATTTGTTTAGAGACGAACAGATTGAATTACAGATATATCAATTATATTTATGGACAGATATGTGGATATTTACTATCCTAAAAAGTAGTGTTATTTGTACATCATTGTGTACAGATAGATTACTCGAGTCATCTATTTGTACATCGTCATGTACATAATGTTATACAAATAGGATTATTAATAATTTTAAACATATGGATAAATGGATGTTAAAAAAAAAAAATTGGATTTGTAAATAAAAATAGATTTAATTTAATTTAATTATTACACTGCTAAGTGGGATCAGAATTTTAGCCAAATTTTCTTCTTTCTTTTCCATATTTTCCCTTTTTTTTTATTATCCATATTTTCCCTTTATTTTCTATCTTTTGACAAGAAATTCAATATAGATAAACATTCGAAAAATGTTATTCATCCTCAGTGGGGATGCATCCCCAGTCTATGTGGATGTAAATGATTGGTGAAATGATATGTGAAATTAAATGACTTATTTAATTTCACATATCATTCAACGCCACATAGACTGGGGATGAATAGCATTTCTCTAAACATTCTGACCATATTATGAAGGATATCGGCTCCTTAGATTAATAGCCGTGCAAGACTGAGAAAGAAAGACAAGGAGAGGTCGGATATATTTTGAATTGATAAACTAAAAGAGTATGGCAATTCAATTGTGGGACGTATGACCTTTGCTTGTGCTTTTTGTAGAAGAACTTTTGAGAAAGCCAATTTAGACAAATTACTTTCAAAAAATTACTCAAATACATTCAAAGACAGTTTTCTAATTTCAAAAGTAACTTTTGACTTTTTAAAACCACTGTCAGTCAAACGGACACTTTCTTGAGCATGGTGTTGTTCATCAATGCTCGTGCACTGATTGACAAAAAGGGATTGTAATATGGAAATTGAAGTCCTAATTGACGTTTGATATGCAAATCTCAATGTCGTGGTTCATAGTGAAAATGAGATTGTAATATGGGAATTGAAGTTGTAGTTCAATTTATCAGATATCAAAATTCTAATTAAAACTCTATTTTTCAGTAGTCCATATGTGTTAAAACTCCAGAAGCATTCTGTTAAAACGTCGAT